GGCAAGTACTTATGATTTAATGACTGGCATTTAGCCTAGCAGTTAAGACGCCACTCAAGATGCTTGGATAGCACATTAGAGTACTTGAGTTCCATACTTGCCCCTGGCTCCTAGCTTCCTGCTAATGCAGACCCTGGGAGGCAACAGTGCTTTCTCAAATAATTGAGTTTTTGAAACCTGAACTGAGCTTTCAGCTCTTGGCTTCATTGTGGGCATTTGAGGATTGAGCCAGAAGACGGGAACCCTCTCTTTCTCTGTCTCTCCTTTCTAATTAATTAATCCTGAAAATAAGAAAAGTGACTCCAGTACACCTAAGCTACTGAGCCTGGCCTCTCTTAAATATGCTTAGAACATTTATGTTAGCCAACAGTTAGGAAAAATTACCTAATGCAAAGGCTATTTTACAGTCCAATTGAGTATCTCATGTAATTTACTGAAAACTGTGCTAAATGTTAAACCAGAATGATTGTACAGGGAGACTTTCACACCATCTTAAATTCAAAAAGCTGAACCATTGCAAGTTAGGGACCATCTGCACAACTTAGGCTCTGGCTTCCATGGTCATGTCCAGATTCCTAAGCACCTCTCTTTGTGATTTACCAAATTGAAACTAAGGCAAAACATGTGCCTTGCTATCAAAGGAGCCTCAAGAAAAAGGGAGATTAAAAGGAATAATTTTAGCTGATACACAGAAAACAAACGAGAAATTATTCCATGTCCTGGTTTCAGTTGTCACTTACACCAGAGCACCCTCTCCACTTCAGTTAATATGTACTTTGCTCACTGACAGTGAGATTCTATGACTTGCAAAACAACTACCCATCTTCAACTAAGGCAACATCCATTTAAGCCTCCTACTAGCAGGAATTGTCTTTATTTTATAGATAAGTAACCAGAAGTTCAGAACAGAGAAAAAACATGCCTAAGGCACGTAATTAGTAGATGAGCTGTGATTCAAAGATGGGACATTCAGATGTCCAAATTTAACCACTGTACTTTCCTGCCTCTTTCTAGCTGTTCTTTGGGCATACTGGATACCAATTTGAGCTCAGTGACCCTAGACAATATCCAATGAGTACATGTTTTCCCTTCATTAATAAACATAGAGGGTATTGATCTTGAATCACTTACAGGGGTGTTAAAGACTTCAAATAACTGATAAAATATGCTTCTGAGAACACAAATAGATTTTTTTAGGCCACACTATGAAAGGTTAATATTTGCCTCTTGTAAAGCTAACAATTGGGAAGCAGAAAAATCACGCTTTTTATAAAGCAACCTAAAAACATACATAAATATTTGGTATCAATAATTTAATTTATCATTAATATGTTTGCTTTAAACACCAAAATATAATTGGTATTTCAGAAGTGTGCGTCCCCAAGAGACTTAAAGTCAAAAGAGAAAATGTTTCTAGAAAGTTGAATCTTTCTTCTGTGTGAACATCCCTTTTCTTCCCCAGTTAGATTTTTAACTGAGTACTCCTTCAGTCTCAGCTCTTGCTGAGAGAACAAGACTGACCGTGGTTGTCAAGGTCAATCTTTAACACGATCTAAGAAGTGCTTAAACCACGAATTCAGCAATGGAGAAAAATAGATGCAACTAAGCCACAAAAGATGAATTTGTATGTGAAACTAATTTTCCTCACAAGAAAAATAGATATCTCCTTCAATATAAGGGCACATTTAGATTTTTTTTCATATTAGTAACTTATTTAATATGGCAGTGGGCAAAGGACAATCCATTAAAAAGTAATTTTCCCCTTACCACAGGGTGTTCTATCATTTGATGTCTAGCAGTCAATCACAGCACAGCAATCCTTTAATATTTCATGAGCAGAAAACAACTCATTTGGGCATGTAGACTTCAGAAATGGGAAAGTTGTTTCTAATCCTTGAAAAATGTCCAGAATGGCCTTTGCAGCTGATGGCAAGCAAAAGGTAAAACCAAAAACTTGAACTTCAATCAATTAAAACACTGCACAGGAGCGGGTGCTGTGGCGTAGTAGGCTAAGCCTTCACATGTAGTGACAGCATCCCATACGTGTTCTAGTTCACGTCCCAGTTGTTTTTCTTCCAAGCCAGCTCTCTTCTTATGGCCTGGGAGAGCAGTAGAAGATGGCCCAAGTTCCTGGGCCCCTGCACCTATGTTAGGGACCTGGAAGAAGCTCCTGGCTCCTGGTTTCAGATCGGCCTAGCTCCAGCCACTGTGGCCATTTGGGGAGTGAACCAGCAAATGGAAGATTTTCTCTCTCTGTCTCTCCCTCTCTCTGTCTGTAACTCTACCTCTCAAATAAATAAATGAAATCTTTCAAAAAACACAGCACAAATAATGCTTTAGAACAGAAAATGGACACTTATTAAAAAGTCTAATGTCTTACAAACTCATAGGAAAAAGGTGAGTCCCAGCTCTTCTCACACTTTCTGATATCATAAGGTGTTTTCTGAAGTTTCAGTGACAGGGCTGAGAGGGTCCACCTGTGTCCCAGCAGTGTCTATCACTGCCCTGGGCCATCAGAAGCACTCAAAGGATTTGCACTGAGCAAATAAATACAGGTGTTTGGTATTTCCCGGTGAAGGAAAAAGACCCTGAGAAGGCCAGGCTCCAGCTGTCCCAGGCCAGCCTCACTGCAGAGTGCAGCCTGAGCAAGTGTTAAGTGGATGTGGCAGGATGCTTGGGGTCTTCTCTGCATCAGAAGGTGGGAGATGAAAGAGCCCACAGTGCAAGGACATCTCCCGGGCTCCCCATGGCACCTGCCTTCATAGCCACTCTATCATCCCAGCCAATGGGAATGGAGCTCTGTCCTGCTTCCCTGATTGACTACCAGGATCCTCAAAAGGCCAACAGGACTGCTCGATACCTGCCAGAAGTCAGACCTTTTTCCCTGTTATGTGCCCAACCCCACACCCATGCACAGAGTGAACAGTCACCAGAGTGGGACTGTCTGCTCAGACTCCCACCACCGTTGTTCCCCTCCACCGACCAGGTGGGGTCTCGCTGGTGCAATCAAGTCCACATACACCCTGCCCATGCACATTCAGGAATGTGACCCTCTTCCAAGTTCATGTCCTCTGGTTGAATATTATCTGTCCCTAAGGGGCTCCACTCACTGCTATCACTGCGATTGCAATCACAAAATGAACACAGCTACTCAGAAGGTCACCCCAAATACTACCAAGCCATTGCTAGCTATTCCACTCTGGGAAGGTTGTGGGTATGGAACAGCCCAGTGAGGTCAGTGGGTGATTTACCAAAGGACACGGAAGTCTTCAGTAGAACCCAGCTCCCCCTTATTCCCAACACTGTCCTTCTCCTATACCACCTATTTTACGGGTTAACCTTTAGCACAAGAGGCAGATGTCCCTGGGCAAAGGAGAAGAGCAGAAAGCTGGGTACAGCACATCACGGCACAAAGGTCAGGCCTTCTGCTGCCCTCAAGAGGAGGGTAAGCAGCCAGAACATGTTAGGGAGGACGGAAAAGCAGGGGGCAAGAAGGGCAGTGCACAGCATTCTCATGGACACAGAAATCCCAGCCTAGTAGGGCACAACTACCCGCTAGTCACTGGAAAACTCAGATAGCCTTGAAATGTTTTTTAGCAAGGGACTTTCAACCATTTCCCCTGTAAAAGTGAGATAAACGTGAAATAGTCGCAGCTATCAGATGGAGGAATGCAGTAGGATTTGTTCGATTTAGTACTTACATGCTTAAGCTGAATACACAGTGATACTGCAGCCTGAAGTCTCAAGGAGTTACTTTAATTACAGAGTAGATATGATAATTCATGTCAAGGATCCATGTAAACTGAAATCTTAACATTTAGTGAGCAATAAACCAGAGTAGATTAACATAGGAATCCCTCAGGTCAGGGTGCTACTGTTTTAATGCAAAAGTTTCTTGTTGGGGTTCATGTGTAATGAATTGTCATGGCAGCTCCATGATAAAGCCAACATCTTTCCACCAGCCATGCATGCTGGAGGTAGGTAAGCTCTCCTTCTGGGTCAAACAGTCTTACGTCCTAGCTTTTTTCTTACTAAATGCTACATTTTCTAGTTTATCTGAGCAGCACCTGTCAGTTCTACTCTGTAAATAAAATATAACTCTCTTTCCAATGGAATTATCTGATTCCTTTCCATTCATTATTTCATACCATTACCCTAAGCTCTCAAGCAAGCAAATACATTCACAGTAATACCAGACACTGCAACATTTTTTCTGGTCTATATAGTCTTCTCTTGCAACTTGTGTTACCAAGCCTATGTAGAAAGATATATATGTGACAGTTCTGTAGGTGTGGGAGGGGAAATATACTTTCAATACACTTTAACACACTTTAAAGAGAGTCAACATTGACAATGACAATGGGGGCAGGTTAAATCATATATACCATCATGGCTTAAAACCAAATGATGCCAATGAGCAAAATGCAGGGAATTTATTATCCCTCGTTCTCCAGGATGTCCTCTTATAAACTGTGTAATGAAAGTAAGAAAGAGCAAGAAGCATAACGCTGGTCGAATATTTCATTTTCAGTTACTCACTTTCTTAGAGCAAGTATTCCAAACAACAGAAACACTGGCAGCAAGAGAATTTCATTAAGGCATTCAATTTTCTTTATAGAGAAAAACGATTTTGCAAGAAGGAAAAGAAAATGATCTACTGTTCAGTTATAAATTGGAATTTAAAAAAAAAGAAATCCATAGATCTTTTCCTTAAACAGCAACAGGGCTATTTTAATACATACTCAATTTTGTATTATTTGAAATTCAGCCACAATACCTGCAAATTTCTCTAGTCCTACAGGCTCTAAGAATGTTTCTATCCAGAGTCGACTCTGCAGAAATACATACACTAAAAACCTGAGCCAAAAAGTAGGGCTTCTGCAGCGATGAGCACACGGAACTGCTGGCCCCATGGGAATTCTCTGTGTATGTTGTGACCAAACCCTGGAAGCTGAGCCTCCACCAAGCTTTCTCCCATGCGCGAAGCAAGTTGTACTTACGCAGCTCGCCCACTTTCAAGATCTCACACAGCATCTTGGTCAGCTCTATACTACTGCGGCCAAAGGGACATTCATGCTTATCTTCTCGGCTACTGTTCTCCAGCACAATCTGCAGTGGAAAAAGCAAATAAGTCACTAAGTGAATTCAGTGGCTGGAAACATTGGGACATGGCTCCACTCCAACAGAGACAGAAGCATACAGACATCTATTCCAGGTCCCCAAACACAGACTGTTGTGGCCAGGACAAAATAGTACACCACGTACAAGAGGCCTAAAATTCTCATGCTTTCCAAAAATCCCAGGACACACTCTGATCTGTAAGAAAACATTTTCCTTAGATGCTGTGGAGACTTTTCCAAAACAACTCTTTACTAAGTGACAAAGCTACTGTCTTGTCTTCCAAGCACTTCCCTTCCCTTCCAATAGCTGTTCCCCAAACTCTTCCCCAGTAAGGGTTGCCTGGCACCCCCATGCCCACTATTCCAGCATTTCGATTGTGCACTTCCTGCATAGGTTTCTTTCTTCCTTTAAATTTATTTTTTACAAATTTTTAAATTTTAATTTTTAGTTTTTAACAGATTCAGTGTGATTTGTAGCTACAATTCTAAGAACATAATGATAGTTCCCTCTCTCTGTGTCTCTCTCTCTCTGCAGAGATTTCTGGGTTCTTAGAAGGTCTCACTCCCTGGTATTGTTTGAAAGGTGTCTGGGGAACGTGTGATACAAACCAGACCAAGTCCTTTCCTGTGATTTCACATACCAAAGGGAGAAAAGCAGCCACCTCTGATGGTGCCCACTGAGGATGGTTCAAGAGTTTCAGGCAAAAGAAAAGAAAATGAGGCCAAATGCAAAGGAAAAGCAGACACGAGACACAGCGTCTCCACTTACTCCTCAAGTGTAACTGCTTCCCTGTCCCCATGGTCTACGTGTTCAATCAGTCCCCAAAATATCTCCATCCATTTCATAAACTCACATCTTTCCTCAAACTAGTTAGAGATATTCCTATCACTTATATCCAAGAGAACCACTCCACACATAAATTAAAAGTAGAACAAAACAAAGCTCTAGAGTTATTCCACTTCAAATTCGTACGTCAAGAAAAAGAACAGTACCTGAGGGTATTCCTTATATTACAAAAGAACCAGTTCATCCATGGCTGAAGCTGTTCCCAAAACTCTTAGCCAGTAATAGTTGCCTGGCACCTCCTTACTGGTTACAATACTTTGAATGTTGGTCTCAGTAGCATCTGCAGTCATGCTGCATAGTGTCTTTTGTTTTATAAAGATTTATTTATTTTATTTGAAAGTCAGAGTTACACAGAGAGAGAAGAGGGGAGAGAGAGAGAGAGAGAGAGACAGAGAGAGGTCTTCCATCTGCTGGTTCACTCCCCAATTGGCCGCAATAGCCTGAGCTGCACCAATCTGAAACCAGGAGCCAGGAACTTCCTCTAGGTCTTCCCACATGGGTACAGGGGCCCAAGGACATGGGCCATCTTCTACTGCTTTCCCAGGCCATAACAGAGAGCTGGATGGAAAGTGGAGCAGCCAGGACTAACTGGCGCCCATATGGGATGCTGGCACTACAGGCAGCAGCTCTACCCACTACAATACAGCACCTGCCCTGCATATTGTCTTAATGCTCCTCAGGACTCTTCAGTGGTAAGGATGATGTTTTAGTCACTCAATCAACAATATTAATTGAGCACTTATTATTTATCTCCCAGGGAGACAGCTGTGCCCCATAAAATAAGAAGCAAGACAGAAAATGGTTCTGAATTCATTGAGTACCCATTTTATTTTATTTTATTTTATTTTTATTTTTGTGACAGGCAGAGTGGACAGTGAGAGAGAGAGAGAGCCAGGGAGAAAGGTCTTCCTTTTGCCGATGGTTCACCCTCCAGTGGCCGCTGTGGCCGGCTAGCTGTGGCCGGCGCATCGCGCTGATCCGAAGCCAGGAACCAGGTGCTTCTCCTGGTCTCCCATGGGGTGCAGGGCTCAAGTACTTGGGCCATCCTCCACTGCACTCCTGGGCCACAGCAGAGAGCTGGCCTGGAAGAAGGGAAACTGGAACAGAATCTGGCGCCCCGACCGGGACTAGAACCCGGAGTACTGGCGCCGCAGGTGGAGGATTAGCCTATTGAGCATGGGCACTGGCTCAAGTACCCATTCTAATTAAAGGAGCCAGATTGACAACAAAAGAGATAGAAAGAGTTTATTACAAGGACTATGGAAAAAATATACTTGTTGAGATGATAAAGAGTAAGGAGGCGGGCTTTGGAGGAGAGCTTAGATAATTACAGCGTAAAGGAAGGTTCTGTGACATTTGAGAATGAAAGGCTGAGAAAGACCTTGCTGTGTGAAGGGCTATGAGACAGAACATTCCAAGTTCCCAGCAGAGGGATCAAGATCAGAGTCCGTGGGGTGGGTAGGGTGTACTCTGGGTAGACCAGCACCTGCTGATCGACAATGTAGTGGTGCCAGAGTCCGCACCGTGCCAGGCAGCAGTTCATGTTCCAGGAGCCTGGACAGGGTGGGCAGGAGCAGAGGAATCCAGGGACATTTGAACGGCAAGAGAGAGGCAGACAGAACAGAAGACTCAGGCAGGGGAAGACAGTCAGTAAAGAGATAAAAGGAAGAAAGGCTGGAAGGAGGGAAGAAAGAAGCGGAAGTAAATGACATTGCTATCGACAGGATACTTACAGCAAGGGCAGAAATGACAACAGCTCAATCAATACAGGGTAAGTGGTTTCAAATGAAGGAGTAGGATTTTAATAAACATGTGCCCCAATTATTTTCTGTATAAACCAAATACCATACCCATAACACACACACACAACACACACACACTCCTCAAGGGTCTTCAAAAAATCATGAACAATGTGTATTTAGAAAAAAATAGGCACCAGTGTCAACATTTTTGGACCAAAATAAATGTATCTCATAAGCTTTTTGAAATACATTTATATATGTATATATCATTATATTTATATCCACAGTCCTCCAAGCACAAAGTCAACTGTTTCCATTTGGAAACAGCATTGCATTTTTAATCTGGCCGCACTAACAACATACATAAATAATCTCTTCTCACCCCATGCATCATGAGCAGCATGCACAGCCTTCCTCATTATCACTTTATCACCCTTAGGACTGTCCAAAGAGACAATGAATCATTCCGTTTTGTGGAGTTCCTCAACCACTTGCAGCATATGCTCGCATAAATAACTGTACATTGAAGATTATCATGAACAGAGCTGTTCTGTCTTTGGGTTCTGTGAAAATAATTCTCCCTCACAGTCCCTGTATGGAAAATACACATGGGTGATTTGGGGCCCTGAGAAAGTGGCTGGAAACTCCCAGTAAACCCCTTCTCCTGCAGAGCAGGGAACAGCCATCGCCAGAGTTCCCAAGAGCCTGAGACCTCTGCGCATCTCGTCTCCAGCCTTCCTGCGCGAGGGGAGTCTGGACCCGTCCCTCTCTGCCTTTTACGGGAACCCATTCTGCTCTACCAAGAAAATGCGCATCAGGAAAGCAGGAGAGGACACAACTAAATTCCCCCCTATCAGTGAGTGTTATTTTTCTTTTGAGAATCTGGTGTCAGAGACAGCCAGATCAGGCAGCAAATCTCAATCCACTTATGACAGGAAACCAACGGAAATAAACAGAGCAAGAAGACAGAAGATAGCAAAAGACAGGAGACAGATAACGTGCTGCCCTCTATGGGCTCCCCACTCCCAGGGAACACATTCCCTTGTATTTCACATTAACATCCTATTAACATTTCATGAGCACATCAATATTTAATGAGGATGTGATCTGCATACACTGTAAGTAGAATTACGGCAGCCAATAAATGTTCAGGAAACATTTCCGAGGCAAAGTTTATTAGCAGGCACTAAATTAAGTGGTAATTTAAGTAATCAATATGTAAATCAACTTGGGGAAGTCTTTCTCTTTATTTTTTAATGTCCCATCTTTCTTATCATATTTATCCACCTTAAGAAAAATAAACCCTCCTTCCTGACGGAGCTCTGTAGTCTAGGCAGACACAAATACCACAAACATTTAAAATTACTTGTGCGCGTCTTAATGTCAACACACTGAGAATGTCTCTCAATTTCCAACATCTCACTAAATCCCAGCCCTTCTGAAACGAAACTCTCTCATCTCATTTATCTCCCTGAAGACGAATAACAGCTCCTCAGGGTGAGTGACCCAAGCTGCCATGAAATGTCCCCAAAGATCTGATCTCCATAAATTCTGGGTTCCCTGTGCAGTGCCTGGTGCTGCTTCTCATTCTCCAGTTGTGTGCAGCAGGAACTATTAGGCTTGTGAGTACAAGGCCAGCGTCCTCACTGCTCACCCCTTCTTGGCCTCCAGGGACTACCCTAGCTTGTCACTACCATTTCAGCAGTGCCTTGCTGATTTATAGTCAGCTACTTGTCCCCGACAGGCTCTCTTCCACCTTCTGTTGAAGGCTGCCCACCGGGGCTGTGTCTAATGCAGCCTGCATTGCCCGTGGCAAGCCCTGGGGTGAAGCTCCAGGGATTCTCCAATCCCTACCATCTGGGGAGGCTTCCTTTCCTCTCTAACTTGGGGTCAGGTGAAGCACAGCCGTCTCCTCACGGGCCAGAGAGGACAGCAGGAGCAGTGGTGCTGTCTTCTCCCCAAAGAGAGGGGACAGTGGGTCTTGCCCCAGTTCTGACATAAAGCTACTTTGGGAAGCACAGACAATGTGGAGACTCTGGGCAAAGCTTCCACTAACAAGTGAAGGCTTGCACAAGCTTTGCGTCTCTTGGTAACATATGCAGACATTCATAAAACCCACCTCACAGAACTGCGGTGCCTATCAAGTCACACAAGCAAGGCACAGTGCCTAAAACAGACGCCACAGAGGACATGTGGCTATTATTATTAATAATAATTATTATTACTATTACTTCTCTCTCTCTCCCCATGTGACCCTTGGAAAACATTTCACACAACACTTTTACCTGCAACTAACCTACAGTCACAGCTCTGAGACTGACCGACCCTGAGAATGGGCCTCTGGGGACACAGGAACCACAGCCAGAGGCCTTCTTGCTCTTTAACCATACAAGAGAGGGA